ATCTTGACGTCAACGACGACAGTTCCTTCTGGTTGGCAATAAACTCCATTTTTCTGGTCATTTTTGCTACTGAGCTCGTTGTGCGCCTGCGTGCTGAAGGGATACGGGTATGGGTACGCGATACGTGGAATTGGTTTGATATGTTACTGGTCATCTCTGATGTGGTTGGCATGTGGATAGTCCCTTTCTTCACAGGGAAAAGTCTTCGGAGCTTCAACTTTCTGAGTAGGATGGTGGAGATCCCGGGTTCGATCCCGGCATGGTGCATTTTATTTCCTCAGGAACGGGAAGACTCCTCAGACTTGCGAGAATTGCCCGCCTATTTCGATTCTTGCGGCCGTTGGCGTTGATCATGCGAGGAATATATTGTGCATTCAAAATAGTAAGAAAATCTGCGAAATTTTCATGGGGAAGATTCTCTCTCTCTTGTGCGGTGTTGAATCAGCTGGGTTGAGGAGTTCCCTCGCTAGCTCGAGGAGTTTATATATGAACTCGGGTAGAAATGTTCAGAAACCAAGGAGAATTTCGCAAAATTTCCTCAGAATTTACATATTGTCACCGACACATGTAGTTGGCCATGTAAATGTTTTCCCATACTATTCTTGCGATTTGCAAAAGTGTTCGTCATTCGTGCGTTAACCGCTTGAGGGACATATGCGCCATTTCGAATTATAGTAAATTCATACCACTCGCCTCTAACAAACGGATCCTTCGTAATGGTCGTAGCAGATGTGTTGAATATTATGTATGTGTGTTATCGTTTGCGATTGGTGGAAAGTGAAGGAATAACACGGGGAAAAACGTTCAGTGTCGGATCAGTGATTGTGAAATCGTTCTTCCTACATCATGTGAGTTCTCTTGTTCTCAAGAACAGAAAGCGATGAACATGAATATGAAGTTGGGAAAGAGTGGTATGGCGAATTCGCTCAGGTGCTGTGGATGGTCATACTGATGACGATATTGATTTATGTAGCCGCTGTTGGGATGCGTATCTTTACCAAAAATATTGCGGATGAGTGGAGTGATGATATGGCGAATCCTGACTCGACATTGTTAACGAAAGGGCTAGGTAGGAGGTGGTATCTTGGCATATCTTAAATCTTCGGAGTGCGTTGTCGAATGAACTGATAATGAATAGTGATCGATATGGCTTTGATAACAGTTGAGGGAATGTTCCTTATGTGACATATATATATGGGGAATTGGCTTAGGTATGTGATCCTAGCCCTGTGGGGAATTCAAAATGTGTTCTTCCCGGGAGTATTATGAGCTCCTGGACGATTTCCTAGTTTTGAATTGATCTTGTGAAAGGATTATGTAAGTGAAAGCTCGACTTTACAAATTGAATAGTGAGTGAATCGTCGCAAGAGGAAAATAGTTTAGAATTGACGTCGGAGGGATTCGAACCTGGGTCCGTCCTCATAACATGTTTGTCATCCTTATAGGCACGTATGGACAGCCTCCGTTCCAATCGGTGCCTCAGTCAATGCTCACTATGTTCCAATTGGTTACTCTGGAAAATTGGCCTGAAGTGTAAGTTCCCCTTATTTGGATGCTTTAGAATGGAGTTTCACTCGTGATGTGAAAAACACATTTCACATTCACGTAGAACCAGTGAAACTCCAGTATAAAAATACAGTACGGGCTGTGAATATCTCGCTCGCCCTTATATATGAGTAATGGTCACGAATATAAGCATTTCACTTTAGTATGTGTTAGCTTATTACTGGAGTTCCATCCGTGATATGGAGAAAACACTAGTGAAAAGCATATAGGGGGTATTAATAATATATAAATAATAGGCTATTGAATATAATATAGGTTTATATTGTTGATAATATAATAATCATTAGATATATAAACATCATTTCACCACACGTAAAACGGGGGAAACTCCATTATATCTAAGCCAGTGTGGAACACTACTCGTTGTGATTCCAGTGTTGGAATATATGCGCGCTTCCCTAAGCTGAGCTCAGGAGTTTCACAAACGAATTCGGATAGAAATGCTCAGAAACCAACAAGAATATTTTTAGAATATTAACAGTTCCCAATATTTTTCCTAGGAATACTCATGCATACATTTACAAAACTGTGCCTTTCGTCACAGACACATGTAGTTGTCCATGGTTATATTTCCCGATACGGCGGTATACGTGAAAGCTTCTAGTGAGGATGTGTCAGGTTTTATGCGACGAACCACTATATGTCGGCAATCGCGTTGATGATCATTCCCTTTGTGTTCTTCATGAACTTCATTATAGTGTCCCTCATGACTGGTGTGATATTAGAGAATGTAAGAGGAGTTCAAGGAGGAGTGGTATGACAATGTGGATTTTGTGAGGTATTGGAGGTCTCAAGAACGGATTACGAGGAGAAGGATCGACGCGCTGAGGAATACCGCAGAATGGTAATAAAAAGGGGTAGAACTTGTTCATAGATAAGCGAAGTATTGAAGCCTTATGATGCAGTTGTGAGAAAATGGAATTGTAGTTTTATCGATAATTATAATACTACAGGTTGTGAATATCAAAAATGTGCCGCTATGAAGAGTGGTGTCGATGTGATCTGATTAAGTTCATTGATACATGGAGTGATTGGTTCTAGCTGTAGGACATTGGCACTCCTAATAATAGTGCCTTTCTGTGAATTTCCGTCGCAAATAAGGAGAACGAATATCGCTATGGTGACGGTTTCATAAAATTCAGCATGATGGGAAATTCCTATTGCTGATGTCAGCCGATCGAAGTCTGATGTTTGTATGGATCTCGAGAAACTCTGTAGTTTTTTGAGAATACTTTGTGTGTCTCGTATCGTGCTTTATTACTACAGAGTGTAGGGATGTATCTGCGTATTTCAGATCATGATTTTTTTCGAAGGGTCTGGTGATATCGATAGGTATTGGTTCTTTTCCTCTCAGGCGTTCAGTCACCTGCATGAGGTGTTTAAGGAGGCTGATAAAGAGGGTCGAGGTTGGATATCTGAGGAAGAGTTTGTTAGAGTAGATGCATTACTTTCTGGCGTGTCGCGCTCGCCTTGTTGATCGATTTGTTGTGGAATTGACTAGATGTTGTTCAGGTTCTTCGGATACCAGAAGTAGCACAGAAGTTGAAGTTTGCGGATGTGTCCCTTCGTGATGCAGCGGACTTGTTTAGTCTGATTGATATCAATCGATCGAGGAAGGTAGTGGGGAGGGAGGTTGGCGTGTGAATTGTGGGTGGTGTGGTATTGGAATATTCACTGTGCGCTCGTGAGTATTTATTCGCTTTATCGTAGAACTTATTTCAATACTACTTATCGCGATCCATTGCTATTTACTATTCGAACGGAATAAAATATTGGTGGTATCAAAAATTCTGTTCGGGATGCAAAAATTTTATCAAGAAATATTTATAAAAACTGAAAAATTCTCTTCAATTTCTTCGATTAATTACACACATTTTACTCCGTGATTCGGTTCTAGCCTATAGAACTATTCTTATATACGCCGTTTTAGAGAGTTGGGTTGTTTCGTATGAATGGGTGAATTTCCGGGTAAAATCTCGCTCGCCCGACTTAATGGATTTATAACTGGATTGTTAGGTGACTTACACAGAATTTGTGGAAGGCTGTTTGAGGATAGCTGGACAGGCTAAGGGGAAGGACTTGTTGAGGGTCCAGTACACTCTGGATAAGAAGTTCGAGAGGGTTGGTATCGGAGGAAATCGATCAGGTGATCGATATTGGATATTGTGTAGGTTAGATGGGAATTACTACGACAAGAAGAGAATATATTGGATCGATTGAAGTGCAATAGGCGGCAGATTGACGCGAAGTTGGATATGTTGTTAGCGGCTGTTTTGTGTGATAAGAAGGATGATGATGTTGCTAAGCTGATTCGGACGAGTCTTCTCTCGACGCTGGGAGAAAACAGGAGGGCTTCATCGGGGAAAGGAAAGTACTTGGGGAAGCGATATATAGCGTACGTGTTTAGTGAAAAAGTTTGTCGGGATGCATTTCCTTTGAAGAGAATGCTGTAATGTATAATTTCTGAACGACATGTTTTAAAATGAAATTAATTCTGGATCAGCTCCTTTTCCTCTATAAGACTGTCTATGCAGCCCACTGCGGAAGTTTATACCATAATTTTCGTACAGACAAAATTTTATAATAATCTTGACGGTGTATTAGTGAAATAACGAGTCTGGGATTAGAACCTGTGCGGGTTTGATGTGTGTGGATTGTATCAGGCCGGTTGAGGAAGAGGAAGTGGTAGTGAAGGATTGGTTAACAGCTGTTAGCGTCGTGCCGCGGTGTACACCGGAGGGGATCCTGAGTGCATTGTCTGAGGATGATGGTGATGATAGTAGACTCGTCGGCGTACGGGAGCAGATAGGGCGTATGATCGGACGGAATGTGTTGGTGGAGGAAACGAGGGAGAACGAGGCGTCTGTGGAGGGGTCTGTGGAGGGGTCTGTGGGAGGAGGTGATGATGATGATGATGATAAAGTAGCGGATATGAGAGTAATGGATGAGAGAGAATCACAGATTTTGTAAGTGGATAGGAAGGGGGAATTTGAGATGTAGGGAGTAGTCGTAGTCATGCTTGATATATGTCTCTTCTGAGCTGCATCAAGAGCGCTCTTTTAACATGTAGATCTCGACCTTGGGAGAAAGGTCTATTTAACATCCCGCGAATACACTACATTAACTATAGTAGTATACTTAGTATTGAGCGGTGTTTTATAGAATTGTGCTGAGCTTCAGAAGCGCTCCTGCAATTGGATTGAACATGTGGAACTTGAGCGCTGTTGAAGCTCAGAAGAGGTCTACTCGGGTGTTTTTATGTTTTTTCTATCAGAGCGGACGATCTCCATCGGCTGCTCATTGCACAGCCTAACGCGTTGCCGGGGTTATTGAGGGAAAGTGAAATGTCCTTATCGAGTGTTAGTGAGGAGGAGGAGGAGGATCGTGGAGGGGTTAGGATAGGGCTTGGTGGAAAGGTCAGTAATGCGGTGTCGAGGTAGGTGGGGTAATTTCGTGGCGCGTGACGAATCTGTGATGCTATTTCAGAAATCAATGAGAGGTCTCGGGTTCGAATCCCAGTACATGTAATTTTACCAGCTTTTGCTGCATGCTTTGACACATGTTCGTAGTAACGTTGACCTTTTGTTGTGTTGTATACGTTGTATTAGACCCGACTGGCCTTAGGATGGTATCATCAACTCAATCTTAGCCAGTGTGGGGGGAAAGTATACACATGGACAACTACATGTGTTGGTGGCAATATAGGAAATTTGGCGAGTTATTGTACGCCTCTCCTCAAATTTGTATGTGAGGAAACTCCTGAGCTCGGCTGAGGAAAGCGAACATATTTCCCAACATTGGTACTAGCTATTTAAAAATGCTGCACCCAGGGATCGAACCTGTGTATGAACACAACTATAGCTGAAATCTGTCTCTTGGGCGTCAGCACTGTTCGGCGCTCTACTATCAGTGCAGATATATTCGTTTTGCAGTAAGCGCGGAAGTAAACGATGTTGGGCTTACAAAAGTTAGGCTCTCTGAAGTTCTTGCATGTCGCATTGTAATGACGATCGAGTGGGTGCCGCACTGAAGGGACAGTTCTTGTGTCGGCGGCTTTGTAGTGGTGATGTTGAGATACACACTATAGAGGAGTAGGAAGAGTAGAGGAGGGTGGAGACTGTATAGTTGGAGTCGCCGTTTTGATAGTATTTATTTTGAGGTGTTGTGTCTACGGTTATTACTAGTAGTAGCTTGCCTCACTGTGAGATCACATTGTGCAATTGTGATGGTCATTGTCATGAAGATACTTCGTCTACTATATTGTCATTTACGGGTTGAGATATTTAGCAGTGCGTATGGCCGACGATATGAAAATTTAGAAGAAATTCTCCTTGGTTTCTGTACATTTCTCTTGAGGAAACTTTTAAGCTCAGGTGAGGAAAGGGGACATATATTCCCACAGTACCGTTTAGTTCCTAAGTGAATAGCTTTATTTGGTTCGGATAGGATCAGTCAATCAGTTGGGTTTGTTTATTTCTCATTGTCATGTTCGCCCTGAAGCCCGCTGTTATTGTTACTGTTACTGTGGTTTCTATTATTTTCTCGGGTTGTTCTTCCACATCTACTACATCCTCTTCGTCTACTACTGCCACTCCTGGCCTCTCTGGGGAAGTTACAACTGGGGTATCGTCGCACAGTACGGGTAGTGCTATCACTACTACAACTTTCATGGGAAAAACCAACGCGTCTACTTTCACTACTGCCACTGCCACTTATCCAGCTACTAGTCAATCGCCGACAAGTCGGTCGAAACCTAGTACGCAATGCAGTGGGAAGATGTTGGGTACGTATACATGGTCGCAGGACTACTGGCGTAATAATGACGATTTGTTGTTTGCCTTCCTCAACTCGGATATGGGTCAGCAGTGGAATTGTGGTGATGTGTCTGTGAATATTGCTGATAGTAGCAATCCTAATTTCATCGCAACTCCGGAGAATTTGGTCAACTTCATGGTGAACTTCAGAAGAAAAACCAACAATCAGGGCATATTGTGGTTGACCTATGGTGATGTTGTTTCTAAGGAGGGTGCTCTGATGGTTATGTTCGTGCAAACTTTCAAGAATTTCCTTATCAATTATGTGGATGCTAATACGATGGCTGAGATTGCACCGATTGGGCTGAGTTTTGATGTGGAGCATGTCGCACAGAATTACGTCAAGGAAGCCCTTCAAGACGCTCAACAGATGAAGACTGACCTACAGACACATCTCGGCTACTTACCCAACTCTATTTATGTTCAATATACGATCGAGGGCGCGCCTGATACACTGGGGACGCAGTATGTGATGCAGTACGCTGACTCCGCGTTGATGATGCTGTATAGGAATGAAATTGTGGACACTACTGGCAAGTGAGTTTGAACAGTGCCGGGGTTTGTGAATCGTTCTTATTTGATGTGTTTGTTGTTTTAGTGATCCTGATGATTTGCTTGGACGTCTACGATGGATGTTGCATGATCAATGTTTGGTGTGTACTCAGCCGGGATGGGAGAATCTTAAGGGCTAGATCACTATCATGGTGGAGTAAGATATCTTGTAAATCAATCTGTGTATTGTAATGTGTTATGTGTAATTGTTGTAATTGTTGTAATTGTGTAATGTGTAATGTGTTATTGTTGTGTTGTTATGTCGTTATGTCGTTATGTGTTATGTGTTATTGTTGTTATTGTTGTTATTGTTGTTATTGTTGTTATTGTTGTTATTGTTGTTATTGTTGTTATTGTTGTTATTGTTGTTATTGTTGTTATTGTTGTTATTGTTGTTATTGTTGTTATTGTTGTTATTGTTGTTATTGTTGTTATTGTTGTAATTGTTGTTGTTGTCGTTATTGTTGTTATTGTCGTTATTGTTGTTATTGTTGTTATTGTTGTTATTGTTGTTATTGTTGTTATTGTTGTTATTGTTGTTATCGTTGTTATTGTTGTTATTGTTGTTATTGTTGTTATTGTTGTTATTGTTGTTATTGTTGTAATTGTTGTAATTGTTGTAATTGTTGTTATTGTTGTTATTGTTGTTATTGTTGTTGTTGTTGTTATTGTTGTTATTGTTGTTATTGTTGTTATTGTTGTTATTGTTGTTATTGTTGTTATTGTTGTTATTGTCGTTATTGTTATTGTGTGTGATTATGTCAGGGTTCCTGCAAATTGGGTGCGAACTGTCACAAGATATCTATGTGTGCATTTGATTCGGTTACTTACCCTAATCCTTCTGGTGGCATTGAATATGCTTGGAATACGCTGAATCAGCTGAACAGCCTTATCGTCCCAGACGGAGTAAGTGGCGAAGGGGTGGTATCGAGTTGATAATTCTCTCATTTTTGATGGTTTTTGTATCAGATTGTGAGCCAAGAGCAGTACGATGGGCTATTTAACCACGAAGGCACATTGTTTTCCCTTCATAATTTTGAATGGACTCGCTGTTATTATGGCGACTCCTTCTCCCAGTTGATGGGATATGATGATTATTGTCCTCAATACCATACTTATGCTACGACTTGCCGTTCTGAATAATCTTCATAGTGCGGTGCTACTGGCCAAAGATGCCGCCCCTTCTTGACCGCTCATGATTTGTCCCCTAGATGTATATAACTTCGTATTTGGTTTTTGCTGAGGGGGATTAGCTGCTAGGGACTGAATGCAGGGTTACTCAGTTTCTACGATGAACATGTGTCTGAGTTCAGCTCATGGTGAAGTACATTGGTTGGTGACAATATGAAAATTTGTGAGGTTCTTGTACCTTTTTACACGGATTCGTATATATAAACTTCTGTAATTAGTGAGGATACTTCCAAGCTCAGCTGAGGGAAGCGATTACATATATTCATACTCCAACACTGGAGTTCAGCCTGAGGCCAGTGAGGAAGTGTTCTTGTGAAGATGATGATAAGTAATGTTCTTGTTAATGTATCGTATATGATGGGTTAAGGAGCAATGGTGTTTATCATGTGTGTTGGAGATAGAGAGAATAACCCAATTTCCTTAGGCCTACGAATACTTATCACACAATAATAGGAATCATCATCTTCTTCACTCCTGGAATTGTGATGATGCGCGTCGCTCCGTCCGATGGCAACATGTGGCTGATTCATCTCCAGCATTGTCTCCTCGAATGATGAGGAATATATGTTCGCTCTCCTCTCCTCAGCTGAGCTTGGGAATTTACTACTAGTAAAGGACTTCATAGATCAACTGATCTGCAGGTGATCTCGAGTTTTTATATGGAAGGTTGTGGGTTTATTTATTGGGCGAGCGAGATTGTCTTAGCGCATTGCGTGCGGTTGTCGTCGTGTTGAAACGGTGAATGTAAGATGACGATAATGGTCGGGAATTCCACTGCACTTGACTTGGTTGCACGCTGGCTGTGCAGGGTACCTCAGCGGAGCTGTTGATTGTTGTGTATATGTAGAGAATACATAGTAGTATTTACTCGTTCGTATAGAGGCTGACGTGAACGATCATGGTGGTAGGAGTAGTCGTTTGAATAGCATTGGCGTTGTTGTTTAATCTGGCTAGGAGCTCACTTTCAGTGTTATGTTATATGCCTCTGGAACAAGATTGTACAGATTCGTCTACCTTCGTACACCTTCCATAATTTTTACGAGTGTTTTCGTATTACAGGTTTTCATCCTATCGTCACCTGCGACGGTCTCATCGTCGTGTATGTGGTTGTATGAATAAAGGAAGATTTGGTTAAAGCCTGATGAAGGAGCTCGTGGAGATTGTTATTGGCCTTGGCTTGTGAGACGAATCTTAGGTCGGAGTTGGTAAGATACGAATCATGTACGAAACATGAGTTTCTACTTATTGGACTCATTGTGTTGAGTGTAGTTAGATGATGGTTGTTCAGGCTTAGTGTTGATGCCTATTGAACCCTGCTCATCGTCGTCGTCGCTGAACCCCTCCTCCTCCTCCTCGTGCTCAACCTCCCGTCCCCATCACTACCCACATGGCCACCTCCGGATATCATCGAGACAGTTACGAAGACCTGATGCAGTTGTTATCGAAAATGGAAGATTATGATGATGAATTACTACGTGAAGGGATTAGTGAATTGGAAGGTGCTTTGGTGGCTGAACCTAGAGGCTTGTCGGAAGAAGTGTGGTATTACTTGCATCATGAGTTGAGGGAAAATGGGTATGTACTTGTTGAAGTTGACGCTGATCCTATGAAGGGTACTGATGATCCTGTGCAGAAGGTGGTGATAGAAGCTATGGACAGCGGTATGGCGTTTGAGGCGGGCGAGCTGGATGGGTACTCGGGAGAGAACGGTGATCTGTTGGGAAGTGTAGGAAGTGTGGTACGAAGACTGATGAGGGGGGACAGGCAGGAAAATTGTTGGTGTGTTATGAACTTGTGGGGATTCAAGTCGACTACGAATTTTCTGGCGGACAACTCTGTGAATCCTCTGAGTCGAATTATTGGGGAGTATTATCGTAGGAGCGGCGTGACCGACTTCGTGACGGCTTATGACACTGACGAGACCCTCCTACGGTGTTGGTCGGGCTATGCTTTACAACCTGATGATGGTAGTAGAGGTAGTCGGCTGGTCGTACCAAATGCTTATTATCATGTACTCACTGTTGTCAATGTCCTGGATGAGGACATGGTGGTGAGGTTAGAGGGGCTCAGGGGAGAGCGGGAGGTGACGTTATGCAAAGGGGAAGTATTGGCTGTTACTCCGGAGTATGCGGCTTACACTGTAAAGGGTGGTGGAGTGTATTCATGCTTTACCTGGCCGGCTAAGGCATATCATACGATGGAGCCTCTTGAAGAGCTGGATGTGACCTTGTATAGGAGCCGTGCGGGGCCGTATCATGAGGTTAGTAGTACTTCTAATATGAGGACTGTGATGACTGGTTGTCCGCACTGTATGCGGCCGATCGGTCTTGAGCTTGTGGATACGTCCTGGGGTGGACACTGTGAGAGTGGTGGTGATTCTTATGCGTTTGTGTCGATGTATTATGCTCCTGATGGTGGTAAGGGATGGTGGGAAGATGGTCCGGAGGTCGTAAGGAGTCTACAACGGTTGGGTCGGTCTTTGGGGGAGTACTGTAGTGGAATCCCTAGAATACTCATGGTTGCTGTACATAGTGGTGAGGGAGTTGACGAGGTTGTGATGGAGCCTTTTGAGGGGTGTTGGGATAGAGTTGTACCTGTACCTAGAATTTATAGGAATCGATGGAGATTCACCCATCCTCGGCCGAAACCTAATCCGGCTGATACTGAATTGACACTACAGCCGGAGTTTGCTTCACAGCGTTGTTTCGATTCGAGTTACTCTCGATCGTTTGGGGAGCTGACTATGCTGGCAGCACTTGAGTTGGTGGAATTCGATAGGATCGCGTATATCCATCCAAGTGTTGAAGTGAGGTCTCCGAAATTCGCTGGTGTATTTACTGCGGCAAAGACGGTGCCTGCTGTAGCTGTGAGTGGAATTTCAGGGCGCGCGAAATTGAGTCCCCGAGTAGCCGATGTGCATGAATATAGGTATATGGGGGTGATGGTCTTCGAGCCAAGTGTGGGGGATGCGTATAGAGTGAAGAATATCATAAGGGAGTGTGAGCATCCTGCCGAGGTCCCGAGTTCGAACCCCGCGGCTGACATTTTAACTCGGTATTGGGCGACTGAGAGCTTGACAGGCGTGTCAGTGTTGCCGGAGGTCTTTGTTGGTGAAGAGGCTGATGATAGCGATGTAGAGTTCTACGATGAGCTCAGTGATGGTACTGACGGCTCGGATGTGGTCCTACCACTTCAGGATGGATATTATGCTTATCGGCACGAATGGGGTGATGACGAGGACACAGAGGAGAAGGAGAAAGGCAATAGCAGGAGCAGTCGAACTGAATGATGATGAATTCCCATTGTAATTTTGATTGTATGACACTGTTGTGTTGTAGTAGACTTAATAGTTGTGATGGTATTGGTCGAGCATCGTGATGTGGTAGGAGTGTGGTATGAAGCCCTATGCTTGCCTCCTTGTCTATTACTCAACAGGCCGTGGTCGCTCTGGTATTCACTGAGATATGCCCTACTTGATAGATGAATTAAAGCGAGTAGTTGAATGTGGTGGTTAGGTGCACATGTTGGAGACCCCTAGAGGGGATCGTCTGGTACACCAGCAGCAGCCCGGGGCTTATCATCCTTTGCTATGTCGATGAAGTAGAGATCATGATGATACGATGTTGGAGGAACTCCTCGAGCTCAGCTATTTTTGAGAGTAGAGCTGTATTGTTGAGGAATGTATAGTAGGGATTGCCGTATGGGTTACACTGTGCTGCAACACTCTACTGTGTTGAATGGTCTGCTGAGGCTAGCGATGTGAATCAGCGTTATAACCACACTCTATTAGAACGAGGCTGATCATGGTGTTCACCTACTGCCGTGTGGATAGAGGAATAGGTTGCTTGGTGGGGTGTAGCGAGTGGTGGGAGTGATAATTGGGAATCGATAGTTAGTGACTTGTATTGACGTCGTTGGGGAGGAATGATAGTATAGTGTATTATGATTTAATTGGAGTTTTCACAGCGGAGCGATGCTTGTGTTGTTATGGGAATACAAAGTGGGGTGGTATTTTTGGTGGTAGTAAGTATGCAGAAGTCTTCACTGCGGAGGGTCGACACAGAGGGTGGTAGATCGACTAAGTCGGTGGGGTTCAGTACTAGGCGAACTCGTCATTATAGGAAGGGAGATGAGAGGTGATGGAATGTGTTCATACCACACCTTCCTGAACTTGTCTGACTTTCAGTCCATCGGGGACGTCGAGTGGTGGTGATGGGAAGAAGAGGAATGTTCAGGTGGTGGAAGGCAGCAGCCCTAGGTCGGGTGGGAGTAGCAATAGGGAGCCTGTTGAGCCGTCCTCATTGATGGTTTCGGTGGAGGAGGCCTTGTCCCCTATGGACTCCAACACATTCACATCTGAACATGGTGAGGGAAGGGCTGTTGACTACGTTTAGTGATGAGAGCTTCAGGAGCGACGGAAGGTAGGGCGGAAAGTAGACCTGTTGGTGTGGGCGATGCATCACCATCTTCTACGGTGGGGGGCACTCCGAATAAGGCCGGTCTTGGAGGCAACCATACAACTCCTCTTAAGTAGTGTGCTTGCTGGATGGCTCATCGGTGACTGGGGTCGTAGGTGGATACGTCGAACTAGTCTTACTGGACGAAGTGATAGTAGTCGGGATGACTTCTTAGGAACAGTGCCATTGGAGTTCCCGACTCAGGTGGGAGCTCATCATCGGGTAGGTTGTATTATGTTGTATTGATAGGGCCAAGCTGAGAGTAGACCTGTGAAGGAAATCGTTAGTAATAGGGGAATGCCTGAGCCGTCAGTTGAAGTGGCTTCAATGGATGTGGAGGAGAACATCGCCTCACCAGATCCTAGGAGAGAGTGGGTTGGAGGCATTCGATGATGTGAGTTGAAGTTGTTGTGGTAGTAGTTCAAAGCCGCCCTCATCGGCGTTGGCGAGGAGACAGAAAACACCCATGCCGAGTCAGGGCAGTGGGGATGTCCTAACGCCCTTTGCTGATTCGGAAGACTCCAGATTGCTCAGCGAGTTGGGGGAGCTCACAGATGCTTATACGACGAGTCAGGCCCCTAGGGAGATGTTGGAGTTGAAGGATAAGAAGGGCCATCATGGTATGCCCCTGCTTGGTAGATTAGCATTATAGTAGGGTTAGGTCCTTCAGGAGGCCCACGTACCCTAGCATCGTTTCCGGTGCCCTCCCCCACACAGCAGGGGGCTACTCAAAAGCAGGGGGAGCCTGAGGGAGAGTGGAGTGATGTGGATATGCAAAGGTCGTCGTCTCCCGAACCAGCTGAGGCTGTTGGACATGCTGTCAATGGTATCGAGATGGACACGGAAATGAACACTCAAGACGACGACCACGACGAGGAGGAGGAGGTAGTTTAATCTTTGTAGTAGTAGGTGATAGTGACGATGGTAGGATACGTGGCAGAGTCCGGGTGGAGGAGTGAGGCAGTCGGTCGGGTCATCAACTCAACAGTTATCACCTGTCCTCAATGCTGCTGCAGTTGACTTCTCCCCGACTGGAGTGTCCGAGTAGGAGGACGGGCAGATCTCCGACAGGGTTGTCTACTGTGATGGGCTCTCATGGATGTTCAGATCGTATGGCCTAGGAGGATACGAGACACCATTGACGCATCGTCGGGACAGCTTTTCGAATATCTGGTGAGTCTTAGGTTGACCCATTTATGGTCTTTGTCAGCCTTCTTAGCTTAGTTGGTAGAGCACCCGCTTAGTAAGCGGGAGGTCGTCGGTTTAACTCCGGCAGAAGGCTTTTCTTTTCAGTCCATCGTCTACCTCCCAAGATGGTATGTACAGCGAGATTGGTACGAGTGTTAAGAGCACTAGGAAGGGGACGGGGAAGAAATCCATCGTCTCCCATACCGAGATGAAGCGAATATTACGCCATAGCAGTGAGTCCCGATTAGAACTGCATGGTGGAGGAGGAGGGCATGCTTAGGTTATTCGGAAGCTGATCCATCGGAGTTTATGGAGTCTAATGGGTCCAGGCAAATGGCTGGTGGGTTTGAGAACAGCGAGTTGGATGAGACTAGCAAAGAGAATTACGACTTGGAGCAAGTGTCCACAGGCTACCGCGAATCAAGATACAGTTCTAAGGTCGGCATGAGGGCATTTTCTTTGGAGGGCCACATGTGTTTTCCAGAGACGAATCAGCAGCAAGCCGCCGATCTGGGCAGCTGGTGAGGATTCGAACGGCTTGACTGCTCCGACCCAAGAGTGGCATCTTCCTGTCATTGAGGACACCATTGCAGAAGAAGGGGAGGAGGAGATTACCGTTTCTCCGTGGGTGCAGGTTTAGGAAGCTATCGCTCGCATAATCTCTGAATTGGTATTTACCCAATCGCCGTTGTTAGAGGGAATTCCATGTTGAAGATTCGATAGTTATCTGTGGATACTCTGATGAGCTCTCGATGAGACGTTAGGAAAAGTTGAGTGGTGGATTTACTTCAGGACTCAGCTGGTTCACAGGGATGATGCGGATGTCCCCGAGCCATGTGATGAAGTTGAGGGGGATGATCGCGGAGAGGAGCAACCATCGACAGACCCCTACGCTGTTGTTGAGAGGGCTCAGTCGATCCTCTGGGAAGTAGTTGCATCGGCAGCTGAGGGAGGTGGTGTGGACGACGATCTCCAAGATGTGGCGGAGTTGCTGGGGAAGACCATTGAAGAGTGGGCTGGATGGGGAGGGGTGGTATGGTCATTGCTGGGCTCCTCTCAGGATGGAGTCAGAAGGCGGCGGCGGCGGCTCTGGCCTGTTGACGGTGGAGGTCTTATGTAAGGATTTGAGGCGACGTGTAGCAGGTGTACGTAGGAAGATAGGGATTGCGGACATGCAGGAGGTCGAGGTGAGTCTATTGGTGTGGGGAAATATGTACACAACAATTGTGAGGGAACTTGGAAAAAATATTTTTCGTTTCGGTACGAATTCGTATGGGAAACTTCTGAGCTTAGCTGAGGAAAGCGAACATATATTCCTCAACACGTCTATAGGCAGTAGAGTTTTCTATTGTAGATTAAGAAGAAGGTGGCGATGTTGAGTCGCGAGAAGATATTGGTTGATGCTGAAGCCTTGGGTGGTTGGTCTGAGGACGTCGAGGAAATATTCAGGGAGAGGTAGTGGTGGCCAGGCTCAGTGCTTGCTGGAGTTCGATCGGTGGTAGATGCAACTCGGCAGTTGTGGAGTCTAAGACTCCGACTAACGCGACCGCGATGGGGCCCTCAGGGGTGAGGGAGGATCTGCTACGGTATTGGCATGAAATCTTCGACCGATTCGCATTGGAGGGGGAGCTCGCCATTGGCCATAAGAAGCGTGAGGAACTGAGAGCTGAGTGCAGGCTCCAGGACGCTAGGGTAGTGCTTGTGAATAGCCGGCTTTGTCGTGAGTTGGTCTTAGGTGTCCTTGGCCGAGCAGGAGACTAGGGCGGCTGGAATCATTCAAAGGTACGGTAGATTAATTGTGGACGGTCCAACAACAAGAGGTGGGTTCGAGGCTTATTGTAGTGGACAGTGTGGGAAAAAAGAATTGCACATGGTCAACCACATGTGTTGGTGACAATATGAAAATTCTGGGAGGAAATTTTGGGGAATTCTCCCTGCTTTCTGTGGACTGCTTCTGAGCCAATTCGTATGTAAACTTGTATAATTAGTGAGGAAACTCCCGAGCTCAGCCGCTGAGGAAAGCGATTACATATATTACAACACTACTAGTGGATGACGATAGGGATGTTGGAATTTTCCGCCTGATCAAGGGGGATGATCTGTTTGCCTCTGACGCAGCTGTCTAGGGCTGTCTTAGTGGTAGTGTTATCAGGTGAGGATAGCGACTATTCAGAGCTGTTGGTGAATGCTGTGGCTGATGGGAGTATTGAGAGAAGGTGTGCTCAGCTGGAGGAGAAGGTGGATAAGGAAATTAAAAATGTACTCACCAGGGATCGAACCTGCGCCTATGAGGTCCTGCTGTAGTTGGCGAAGTTGATGGAGTCGCGAGACGTACTGGTGAAACAGAGGGAGGAATTGGATGCTAAAGTGACGGCCCAGACTAGGAGCAATAATTGGAGGAAATGCTGGGCGTATTGGACGGCTGTGCTGAGAGGGTAAGATATCCAAAATCTTCGCTGTGCGCTGGCGCGCTGCAGTAGTGGGATTCAGATACCGCGAGTTGCTTGCCGATCAGCTCGGCGCGAGGAAATTCGAAACGGCATCTGGCCTGATTGCAATCGTCTTCGAAGAGGGCGACCCGGATGTTCATGTGCACGGTTCGACCAGTCGTCGTAATTTGTCGCTTCCGAATGGTAAATTCAACTGTGCATGGGAGGCTATAGCGAATCGAGGGAAAGGGCTGTTGGTTGGAGGTGCTACCGCGGAGGAAGTTATGAAGGAAATCGTCAGGTTGGGCGACCGGGTTGGCAGACTACAGGAGAGTGCAAGGGCATTGCATGCAGAGAAAAGGTTGGGTACGTGTAGTCGGGTGGTGTGTACTGATAGGGGCAAGTTGGCGTTGTTGTATCAAGTCCATGTACCTCGAGGCTTCGGGGCTAGAGAGGAGCCGCAGGGTGCCAGCGTCTATGTTGGGGTGGTGCTGGGAGGAAATTACGTGGACTGGGAAGGAGGCCGGTTGGAGGACTATCGAATTGACAATGTCGTGGTACGACATCCATTTCCGTTTCCGATAAGGGCTGACCTGTTCACGGTGGGAATACGTATGCATGTGATGGACGCTATGAATGGACTAATGGAGGCTCACAAGACTGCGGGTCAGAGGTAAGCCGTGGATTCAATTGAAGGTTGGAAAGTTGCATAAAAATTTGCTTGTCAGGTCTGATCCATTGGCCTCGAGTGTGAAGGAGAAGTTGGGGGAGGTTATTGATAGTATTGAGAAATCGATATCAGTGGAAAAATTAACAGCATTGAGGGACAGGGTTGTCACTACACTCGAGTCCTCTAAGCATTTGGATAATATATTGCCCAACCTTAATGGAGTTACTGCATGAATGTCATCTCATTATTTTCCAATGGCCTCACGGTGAGTTGGGTGATTGATAACAGAGCTAAGGAGTCAAGGATGTACTCGTGATTTTGTAAGCCGGTTTAGCTTAGTGGTAGAGCGTCAGTCTTGTAAACTGAAGGTCGGCGGTTCGATCCCGCCATCCGGCTTTTTTCCAATTTATGCTGCGCACCATCCAAGCTACACTCTATTCAAGTGTTGTTCCTACACCCGCATTGGTAACCGAGAAGTGGTTACCACAGTATTCAAAGACACAAACTTTTATCAATGTATTCGACAAGTACATCTTATAAAATGTACTTGACCTAGTTCCAGAGGAAAGCCATGAATGAAGATAGTTTAGCACCATCGCACACTTCTCAATTCTGTTACTCCTACCCCGACCACGACATGAGGTCAATGCAGTGTCTTCCGCTTGATTATCGTGTACATTACTGCCCAACTCGGGGTGTATGGTGCGATTCGTTGTAACCTTGAATCGTTCGCTCTGAAATTGTGACCTATCTTTATGCGGGGGTTCACCTCGTCTTTGTTACTCACCTGTTGCCACTTCCAGGGTAGTATATGCCCTGGTCATTCACTCTGGCTGATACCGTACAGTAGTGATCTAACTGTAATGTGAATACCCTGATGTAAATTGTGATAAACTGTTGTAAACTTCCATACAGCATGAGAAGAAATTGCCCCGTCTCATTCGATGTCATTTCGTTCGGGGATCGTAACTAATCGGATGTAGTTGTTTACCGGGAATAAATTTCCGGTTGATTACGCATACGAGTCGTCATTGGAATTTGAATGTATCGAGGGGCAGAAGGTCCGTGGAGGGGATCAGGTTCACATCTTGTTATCGAGCAGAGGTTGTTACGTCTGTAGTTGATTATCCATTTGACCAAGATGTCGAATCGTCTCTTCCTTTCCAGCCTCAGAGGGGTAACTGTAGTAGTATCGTCGTCGTCGTCGTGTAGAGTATGGTCATCAGGTCCGTCGACTTGCTAATGCAAATGATGATACACGACAACAGGCTGGGAGGTGAGCTTCCTATCACTAGTGTCGCCACTGATTTATTCCAGAATGCGGAGTGCTGCTGCTGATGAGGTAGCTCAGACAGCTGAAGAGGTAGTCATGGGGGATGCTGCTACTGGAGGAGGAGACGACGATAACAAGAACAAGGGGTACTACTACCTTTGGAATCTTGGCAGTAGTAGCACTATGGTTAGGTCTGCTGGTGTGGTGCGTAAAGGGCGGGGTCATGGTGGTGAAAGAGCTCTCTTAGAAGGGTAATATATGGATACTCGATTCCAACTCTGTTGTGTATGATTATTAAACTAGGCCTGTCTTCTCCTTATCGGCCCGACGGAAACGGCGATCCGCGAGGGCAGATGATGACGATGACGATGTTGCCATGGGGGATAATAGCGGGTTTGGGAATCGTAGAGGGTAGTAATTGTAGTAGTGGAGAGGCCGCGGAGTTATACCACGCTTTGCTCACCACTGTGTGGTATTTACATAATAGATTATACCAAAATTATCCCACCAAATAGTGGTATTACCATTGCTAGTACGATTGTGGAGAACTACTGTTCACTCTCCCTTCTACTGTCAGGAGTGTAGCCGTCGATGATTCAGCTCTCATTGATCCGTATCACTCTCGAAGTGGTAAGGATGTGTGGAGGCACGACATGTAGCATTGTTGGAGAAGCACATGTTTATCACTACTACACTGACGCCCTCCTCCTCCTCTTATTTGTAGGTATACTGGTCCGATGTCTGCCGGGTCATGGGTCTTTGTAAGGAACTGTCCATCCACTGTAACACCACAACAATTGTATCATCTATTCCAGACTACTGTCAACAGTCCAGTTGTTACTGTAAAGGTAGTAGTATTGCTCCTCTCTACCACCCTCCCCCTAGGTCGTGGGTTTAGGTCCATAGAGGTTCTATACCGACAGCGTTGATCGGCTTCGTGCGACGTGATGCTGCTGAGACTGCGGAGAGTAAGCTACATGGCAGAGACGTGGATGGAACTGTGCTGAAGGTTATATGGGAGTCCGCACGTGTTGGTTTTTCTCCAGGAAAAATTGGGAAATTTCTGTCATTTTTTTTGATGGCTACGGTTATGGCGAATTGTTGTCACCAGTGTGGGAATATATATGATCGGATTTCTCAACTAAGCTCGTGGCTTTCCTCACCATATTATAAGGATCCACATGCGATTTTGGTTAGAAATGTACAAAAACCAACGATAATTTCCCAAAATTTACGCAGCAACACGTGTAGTTGACCATGTGCATATATTCTCACACTGCTTGTCATTATAGGTATGCAAAGTTGACGAATCCGTGGCGGAAATCGAAGAGGTCGAGGAGGGGGAAGATTCCGGGCAGTATTCTAGGACTCCTCAAAGAGCCAGATCGTCGTCGTCGTCGTCGTCGTTCCGGACTCCAAGACGAGGAGGCGGTGGTTGGTCGAGTCGTAGCGGCCCTGGGCAAGTCAGGCGTACTCCTTTCAAGAGACGGTCTTCTGGAGGGAGGTATCGTGGTGATAACAACATCGTGTTGAAGACGAACAGGAGCGGTGGCAGATCTCGATGATAATGGTTATGAACTATGGTCCACATTGTAACATTATAACGTGGGAAAACCTGTAGGTAGTAGGATGGTGGTGACAGTGAGTGGTGACTCCCAGTGTGTACACTATGCTGTCCGTCTCTGCTGTACTAGGCCGTTTTGATGTGACCTAAGGTGACTTCCTTTTTCTGCACCACGCCTTGCGTTCAGTAGTAACTGCGTTGTTGGGGTGTTTGCTCGTGCTGTTGTGGCAGAGGAGTGGTATGGATCCAACAGGTTTTATATTGATATATATGGGTAATACATTTGAATGCTGTGATCGGCGAGACTCAGAGGAACAGCTTGAGCTCCCAAGAAGCGCTCGAGGTAAGAAGGCCTCCGGTACCTTCGATTCATTGCCGTCCTTGGCGGGTGATGATTCAAAAGATCAAGATGATGCCAGCGTACTGCCCTCTCCGGTAAGGCAGTCCTCTTCAATGCCTCCTATACATTGTTGAGGTACGCGGTTGGAAGATGTCTAGTGTCGGGCTCGAGGGCTCGTCGTGGACGGTGGAGCTACACCGAGAGGATGGTGAAGTTGGAGGGTTGGCCGTGAAGGGGCCTTTGTGTGGCCTCATCAGGTGATCGTCTTGGGATTGATGTGGATCATCAGTACCCGGAGTTCCTCCTTGTGGAAAGGGTCACCAATGGTGGGGTGGTGGACAAGTTCAACTTGGGTAATCCTTCACAGGCGCTCAAACAGGGTGATCACATTGTTAGAGTAAGTGCAATAGTGGAGTTATCGTCATATAGGAGGAGATTGTTAGTTTTCAACAGTCAGGGAAATAGTCTGATCTCAGCAGTAACATATGAACGATGGTTGAATGGTCAGTCGGTGAGCAGGTAAATGACGTTACCGGTGATTCATTGAAGATGATAGAGTGTTGCCGCAAGGAGAAGCATCTGGTGTGGCGGGTCGTGCGTGGGAAGTGACACATGTTATTGTGAAGTAATGCACCGATTCGTCACTAAGGATGCGGCAATTCATTCATCATTATTTCGGTTGTGTTTTGTTGACCGAGTAACCATCATATGAGGCCAACAGAAGCTTCCCTGCATTCAATACACTAAGCGTTATATTAGAACCTTTAAACAGTACGCATGCACAGTAGGAAATGTACGACTACTCATCGTTGATCCGAAGGGCGTATAGGTTTTTATCAAAACTTATCGCGTAGTATCCATTAACGTTCTCCTTGAGGAGCTAAACACATCAACTGTAAGGGATACGAAAATTCCGTGACAAGAATGATGAGTCTTTCATGTGACATATCTCAACTGCCCCTGGCCATATACCTAGTCCATTATCATGGAATGTACCATACCCAGTCTTGATGCAGATTTGGTGACACACTTGAGGTTTCGGTATACCTTTGACGGCAGGAAGGGTGGGAAGGTTGTTGAATCGAGTCACTTGAGTAGTCTACAGGATCTCGCCTCATCCTTGAGAAAATTCCGGTAATCGTTCACGAGTCCAGTCACAAGCACTGTGCTGTGGCATAACCACTGAATGTCTCTGCAGAAGCGTATGGGATGGCACAGTTGTGATTTATGCCTATCGTTGAATGGATGAGGTATTACTGGGAGAGACGACAAGCAATGTGACAGTAGAACGGGGGCTATAAGGACCAAAACGGAAGTTCGCAACGATGTCGAGTCCACGAATGTCCATTAGCACACGTTGGCCGTAGTCAACGCTCATAGCTGCGGAGGTCCCCGGCTCGATCCCCACCCACGGTACAACTGAACTCAAGAGAAGAAGTATCACGGTAGGAGCTTGATATCATGTTCTTCATCAATGGTCTCTCTTAATCGGGCCAGCACCATACGCAGCATTTGACAGAGCACAATTATTGCTAGGCCGACTAGGAATGCGAATAACCTGAGATCATTCCCCCAGCTTCACCATTCCCATAGACTGTCCTGTGAAGTTCCAATTTGAACTGAGTCCCCCATCAATTCTAATGCCATGCGTTACAATATGATCAGGCAGTCGCTAACAGGCTTGCCGACCACAGCAGACCAGGCGACCCATCTAGATGGCCAGATCTAGAGTTCATCTAGATTCGAGGTCCGTGAAAAGCTCCGAGGACGTTAGAGAATTCGCGAGTGTGAGAGGCCGTAGTCCTTACCCAGGATCTGCGAATCCTAACGATTTCACCACCGTATACTCGATCCTTTGCCCTCCTGCTGCTGTTGCCGACGCCACACGACTGAGTACCCATAACGTGATGAAGCAATGGTGTGGTTGCGGGGGCATCACTGAAGGGGCTTGATGTCACTAAGACTATTGAAGTCAGTCAGGTGAGCACCGATCTACAATTCGACGCTGTTTTCATCGCGCCAGAATGAGCACCAAGATCTGCGCTCTTTCTGCATAATTGATTGAATGAATTCTCCTACATCATTTCATAATCGCTCAAAACCAATGCCACCAAACTTGCTCATGCATTGAGCAACTCAATACTGCAACATGGGGACACAGCATCTCAACAACAAAAACATCTCACACATTATAACATCAACAACACATGGCAACAACTGGATGGCGGTGTGCCTTCCACAAGCCTCCTCGCCAAGTAGTGCTGGGGCACTATGGGGTTATACATATGTCGACTTCGAAGAATGCCCGTCTTGTCGCTGCAACCTTCGCCCTCGAACCACGGTCGAGCGCCCATCGATGACGGTCGAGTTGTCCGCTGGCGATACCCAATCGGGTGCGGACGTATCGCGGAACCAAAATTGGGGGTGCAATAACAGATCCGAGCAAATAGCAGTGACAAGGTATTGATTGGCAGCGGAGATCTCTTTGGAATAATCGGGAATTCTGTTCGGCTTTCGAATGACGTGATAAAGTGTTAGTGCTGCTATTTGTATGCTGCTACTCCTTCTCGCCGATACCAGAATTCCAGGTGCATACTTACGATTGTGCGCAAAGATGCTCGTATCATCGAAAATAGCCGGGAATTTCCTGAGGCCGGGGCATGATAATGAGAATGAAGGCAACTAGAATCACTTACGCGTTCTGAACGCGTTCTCGGACTAGTTCTCGAGGCGTCGGACGATCCCTGAGGACAATACACGTCCGGCAGTTGACTGCACGGCTACTTCGCTCATCACCACTGACTCACCATCTAGGGCAGGTGGCATCTTCCAGGACGAGCATTCCGTCACTGCCCAAGCCCAGTGTGATTGCTGCATCACCAGCTCTCACTACACCATCAGGACCAACCTAATGAGCAGAGTTCTAGAAGAGTTCTGATCTACGATCAGAGTTCCCCAGAAGGCGTTCCAAAACATTCATTTACAAACAATTTCCCATGGGAGCTGGCTAAACCCGGTCAAGGATAGAAGTGCAATTGAGTAACATCGATGAGGGCTTTCATATGCTGCGAAGATCATCCAAAAATCTAGGAAAATCGAGATTACAATTTCGGCAAAATCGGTTGACATGGGAAAAATGAGAAATTAATAACCTGTGGCATAGCGGCCCCAGATTTTCTCGAAGATAATTATCTGATGCTTTCAGGCGAAGTTCTCATATTAACGCTATTTCGTATCGCTTGTGAAATCTGGGGCCGCTATGCCACAAGTTGTCGGATATCACTTCTTCCATCGCAGTCGATTATCCGAAATTGAAATTGAAATTTATGATTTCTCATAGATATCCCAAAATATGGGGATGATTTTCACACCATCAGGAAGCCCTCGTCGAAATGTGTATCCTTCTTTAGTTTTATTCTCTAACATAACTTCTATAGAAAGGTATTCAAGAAAGCGAATCTTCGGAACACCCTGTACGCAGACTGTGTCCACCTACCTCGAGAGAGGATACGCTAGGCCTGGTGCCAAGAGCGAGGTTGTAGCTATCTCTTGCACGCATAATCTTGTTGTACCTTTCGAGGATAGGACCGTCCTTCTCGGGACGCGGTAAGTTGGTATGGGGGACGGCAGTAACGCTCTGAGAATTATCACCATCGAAGATGTGCATGAATCACCATTGAGCAAGATTGAACTTTCGGCTAATTTCAAAGGCTTGATGGTGACCCTCAGAGACATGAAAATCAAATACAACGTGTAATTCCTAACTTTACGATTCGAATCAGATTGAATTATAGTCACATAATTCACAAACGAATGGAACTGTCGCTGGCTTGTGCTCACCTCAACAACGAGGTGTGGTGGACTCCTGCCTTTGCCGGATATGCTCTCGACGTGGAAATCGGTCATCCAGTACGAAGCCGAAACTGGTTCCAACTGTGTTGCTCCCGGTGCAGGCCCGACACGATCATCGTATCCCCGCGAATGTAGGCATACAGTGTAGATGAGATATTCATTAGCCGTCATTGAGGTGGCCAGATCGGAAGTTTTGTGGGCCCATAGTGGTGGGGGTAAGACGTTGTAAAGGAGTTCAATAGCCGCTTCTAGTGATCCATACAGGTCCATAGCGTTTACTCGGATCTCGTACATATCGTTTCTCACAGTAGTTTGCCTAAGGTAGCGACAATGATAAAAAAAAATACAAACAATGTACTCAGTTCAGCGACGAATATATTCATTTACCCACCTTGTTTTTTCCTCAGAGTCACCACATGGGATGGCGGGGAAGACTCTAAACAGGAAAAGGATCAAATTTCGAGCTGGAGAAACCAAAAAGTGATGAATTACGAAGGGATCATTTCGTGCACCCTACACAAGATATGCCACACTCTCTAGCGCGGAGACACGAACGATTCAACATTCTTTTATGTCGGACGGCGATGTTGATGTGCTAGTGGCCTTCTACTGGAGTTAACCTCAAGCTTTGGTACAATAAAACAGCTTCATCTCTGACGCCCTTTGAAATGATACCATCTTATTTGAATATTGGAACCGCGCTTATCTTTAGTATGAACTTAATAAACTTAGCCATAACCGTGTCCAATGAATTGGACGTTGATCATGCTTAGTTGCCCAACAGTGGTGGGTGTTGGGAAGCGCGTTGGACGTGGAGCTCAGCGGAGATCAGCGTGGTCCATCTAGAAGTTTCCTCACTACTTATGGAAGTTCATATCCGAAATCGGGCAGAAAGTAGAAAAGTAGTTGGGTATTTCTATGTGTGAATTTCCATCTTGACACCAACATATGTGGCTGACAATGTGCATATTTTACCACACTGCTGAGCAGACTAACCTATTCAGTTTGTTAGAGAACACAACCCCCGATCGATGACTCACGTGGCGCGGTCTTCCTTGGAGTAGACTTTATATCTGCATAGTAGATGACAGCAGATTCCGAGTTGTTATCGGCTCTTACTTATCGGGACGGCCTTTGAAAGGGTCGAGTAGATATGAGAGAGTTGGGCATCTAGACTGCGCCAGACGTAAGAATCCAACATCATCATCATCAGGAGATCGTATGCCCTCGAAGACTAGCTCTAGTGCTCCGGAGCTTATATGCATACGTGAGCCCTTATTTGAGAATTGTAATCTGTTAGCCTGTGGAGAAGCCTTCCAGATGCCCGTGCATAACTGAGAGGTGAGCAGTCACTCGCCTTGACAAAGTACCGATAGATCGTTAGTCACCTTGTCGCGTTGGGCCCAGCTGTGAAGTGCCGAATGAGTGGCCTGTAATACAGGAGGCAGTAACGAAGGCGATAAGTTTATGTCGTTACCGCAACTGAACTGAATTGGGAGTGACCGTGTGGCTTGTAGAGGTGATAGAGGAATGTACTGTCTTCCCTAGCCTGAATGTAAACTCAATGTAACGACTAAGAAGGCCCTACTTTGTTCGAGGTGCTTCTCCTGGATGATGACTCTATGGAGGTTGTTAAGACTAAGGCGAGGAGGAGATGCATTGAAGGGAATATCATACAGCGAGCACAGGGAGGAATCTCAACTAGATGTGGCAAGTGAGTTCATCTGCTGCAGTACACCACGTGTTCGAACTTCGAGGAAGCAAACGTCTGCCTCACATGCTCGGCATGGTAGATAATACGACGGAAGAGTGAACCGATCGGGCATCTAGTAACCATAGGGTGGGAGTGTGTATTAAACCGAGTCAACAAGAAGGAAGAGTTTTGAGGCTTGAAGTTGACGTGGACAAGATCCAATGGCATCTCTTTGGAGAACCTGAGTACTTCCCATTCAGAGGAGTAGGAAGCAGTCTCTGGTTTCCACTGGGAACATCTGGCGCTGGAAATACTGAACTGACTAGGGTGCTTAGGCGGCTCTCCGTTAAAATGCAATTTCAATCGGAGAGTTCATTTTCCAGGGACCAATTCCGCGTCAGTCTCCTCGCAACATTTAAGCGTTCACCACTGATACCAGCCTCGTAAAACATTCAGTAGTGAGCTGTTTCCCGAGGAACTTAAAAATGAAAACATCACGGATCTTCGCGCGCCAGGCGCGTTACTTTCTTCAGGGAATTTTTTACGGAGGACCATGGACCAACAGAGATTCTGTCGAGTGAGCGTTCATTGTTAATTTTTGTGGTTCTGTGACTTCCCAGAACACGTGAGTGTTTTTTCCGAGAGCAGCAAAACTCTGAAAGTCTTGGCTTCGGAAACCTCAGCATTTTCGAGCTAGGAATTCCGAGCTCGGCGGAAAGTGCGGATTTATGCCGAGCACTCGGAAATTAGAGATGAGCTCACTGTGTGGTAAAAAACACACCAGAAAAAATCGATTAGAATGGCGAGCGCGTTTCACGGCGCGTGAACGTAGCCCTTCATCACGTGATGTTCGATAAGAACTAGCTAGTTGAATCAGCATTGAAGCAGGTGTGTAGGAGGCCTAGGTGGCGAGATCTCTTGAGGACCAACTCCCCAACACATTGTCGTGCGAGCTGGCTTGTGCTGCTGTTATTTACTCGGTTAATGTATCATGTCCGATACTGTATGAAATTGAGTTTTCACTGAAAGAAATTTGTTCACTTGAAGCCGCTAAGTGAGTAGTTCTTTCTCGTGTTCACTGCAGACATGGAAAGTATCTTCGGGTGACACTGGTTGAAGGGCCCACAGAGTGGCGCGACTCCTTGGGAAATAATAAAGTAGCATCAATTTTCCGAATGAACCTATTCCGTGATAGAAATCGGTCAAATTATGGTTTCGGTATACACTTGTTTATAACTGAGAGGTTTTTCAGTAGACCGATTTCGAGAATTGATTTCTGTGGGTATGACACGACACTAGAATCGATTCGATGAACATGGAGTGCGTCGGAGAAAAAGTGCATTTACTCCTATTAGTGAGTACTCGTTCACGCTTGGGCATTGCTATCAGTTCCTCCTCGCCCCCGCCTTGTTTGTTAGCCATGGGCTGTACTCAGTCGTCTACTCGGCATTCCTCTCGGACGAGGCGTAGTCTCAACCCTATCACTTCTTCTGGGCGCACCACCTTTGGTGGATCTGCCGCGCCGCACTCGGAAGATTTTCGGCCGGGAGCTCGAGTGATAGTATTGGCGGGCCACACAGCTGCGGGTATGACCGGCACACTGGTAAGTGTCGACTGGCGAGGCACATGTATGATCGATCTCGATTTTACTGGGGAGACTGTGTTCGTACCCAAGGTCATGGTTGAGACAGAGAGCCCTATAGACAATTTATACTTCTCTGAATCGGGCGCCACCTTCGCTTCGCTTGATAGGAGGATCGATGCCGTTGTTGGTGACCGAGTGGAAATAGTAGGTGAACATGAATTGGTAGGGAAGCGCGGCTTCATAACAGAAGCTGTGAGTATCGGCCCCGATGATACGCTTTACACAATAGCACTTGATGACGGCACGAAGGCTCATGCTGGGCAGGAGTATGTGAAAATGGCTGAGGACGGTGCTACTAGGGCGAGTGCTACAAAAGCTGAAAGGGATGATAAGGGAATAGATGCACATCTACTGGCAGCATTGAAGGATATGGGAGGGAGCAAAGAGTGGGCATTGGCTCGGACAACTCTGGCGTCGTTGAAGCCGGGCCCGGATGATACCACTGCTGAATGCGCGTTGTGCTGTGAAGATCTGTGTGACAGTCCTACGGCAGTTTTGGTGAAATCGGATGGCTCGAGCAAGGTTAGAGTGTGCCGACATTATTATCACGTATCGTGTCTAAGGGATATGTTTTTGACCAAGTCGCTGGAAAAGCGATGCCCTCTATGTAGGGAAGAGTTCGAACATTACGTGCCTTTGCCTGATTTGAAGAAAGAGCCAAAGCTGTGGTTTAAAGTGGTCGATAGCAGAGGTGATGGGCATCTCTCTTTAGAGGAGGCCGTTGCTGCGACGCAGAGTATATTACCGGTGAGTCAATATTCACTTACGGATCTCCTCAAAAAGGATGATAATAAGTTGTGGTTGCGATGGGCTAAGACTAACGGCGAGACTATCACTTTACATGATTTTTTCCGTCTCCACGGTGGTTTTTTTGTGTGGCTGTTGGCCAACTTGAGAGAACTGCATAGGCTGAAAATGAACGATCGAAAAATGCCAAATTTGTTCACCTCGGACGGCGATTGTGATATAGAGAACGCTTGGTTTGATTATTGGGACTTCACAGGAGCTGGAGTGCTCACCAAACAGCAGCTCGAGAGAGCCCTCACTATAGCAGTAGTAGCTCGGGGTAGAGGTGATAAGAGTAAGGGAACGGCAATGGAAGGGAAGATGAATATGGCAGTTAGTGAAGTAGTTGAGGCTTTGTGGGAGGATATAGCACCGCAGAAGGACGGTCTTATTATGCGAAATAGTTTCCATGCTGCTGTTAGGCTACTTCTACCCAATGTTGTCACTCTTGTGGGAGGGATCGGCAGAATCGGAGTGAAGTGGCGAGGGAGTGGTATTGTAGTATTATTTAAATCGTCCAGCACCAGGGAAGTTGATGTGTAAAATCTTCGCTGTGCGCAATAATAGGATTCGAGCAGCAGAGCGGTCTCAAGCTGATACCATTTTGAATGTCGTATTGATAATACTGTCGGTCTAGGGGGGTTCTGATGACCCTCTCATCTCTGTAGCATTTCCACCTCATCTCTAGTGCATATGTGTCGTGTTGTGTCTGGGGAAAATTGGGAAAATTTTGGTATGGGCTCGCGGGTTTGTCCGTATGATAATAGTCGAGGAATTCTGCATGTTCGTTGTAGTTTTTGGTTGTAATGGGTAAAAAAGGCGGTAAGAAAGGCGGGAAAAAAGCGCCAGCAGTGGTAGTGGAGGGGGGGGGGGGAGGGGTGGGGTTTGGTGAATATTATTAGCAGAAATTACTAAATAAATTTTCATTACGTATCGAAATGTATTCTCGTTGGTGAAGCTTAGGAATATCGATATGGTGTATAAAAGTGTCCATGAGAATAATAGAGTTTCGCTCGTGACGAACGTAAACGTGAAACCTAAATTATTCGTAGATAGATTGGGAAGGTGATTTTAGTTGGTATATGAAGACTTGTACATTTTCCCTTCCCCGTTTTTGAAGTGCGAAAGGACTATACATGAACATTCTCTAGCCTGTAGTGTATTTATCATTCATTTTGAAGATCTATTCAGCTACTAGTGAAACCAACTTCGTAAAATGCTCAAGATTGCAAAACGCATTCTCTCACTTCACCGAATCGCTTTCAGTGCCTGCAAGAATAGAGCTCGAAAGTTTGTACATGCGTGCAATTCCTGGTTGATAAGCTCTCGTCGTGGTATCAGGTAAACCCCGATGATATAATTCCCCAAGACTTACTAGACCTCACTGAGCCGCAGCTGCAGGAGAAAATAGAATCTTGGGAGTGGGGGGAAAGATGGGAAATAGGTTGGCGTGATGGAGCTGACGCAGGTATAGGAGGAATAAGGCTGCTACGGAGAGGAACTATATGGAAATGGAAAGAGATTTGGTGAATCGGTAAAAAAGACATTTGGTGGAATTGAACCTGGGACCTCGCGGTTGATAGTTTTTACACCATAACCAAGCGAGAGATTGAGCAGCTGGAAGCCGCCATTTTGTGTAAAGAGCGACAAACGGAAGTTGTGGAGAAGGAACATCGAGTGAAAATGAAAGTTCACGAACATAAGGTGAACTGTGCGGTTGATCGATTATCTGTTTGGGACTCACTTGCAAGGTACATAGCCTAGTATATCACCAAACAAGGGAGAATGAGGATATCACTAAAGAGGTGATGAAATTGTTATCATTGATCTTTGGTATTATCAGTTGCTCTCAGGCGGAGGCTTTGATTATGGAAGAGGATGACAGACATATCAAACTGCTTACTCAATGGCATGAAGAAAATGAAGTGATATTTTACGAGCATACCACGCCAATCGCAACTGGTCGAGAATTGTATGAAGGCCTGTGTGTTGTAGGAGCACTACTCTAGACGGAAACTACTATTCCCGACTTAGTGTTCGCAGTAGAAGGGAAACTACTTTCAGAGATTCGGCTTCGGAACAGTTTAGATTTGTCTTCAGTTTTTATCATCTCTTTAGGCATTGAAAGAATCTTTACAATCTAAGAAACTCGCGCGTGAGGAAGAGGTTAAGTTGATGGAGCGAGGTAGTGGTATTAAGTTGGGCATGGAAAATATCTTTTAACCGTTTCAGGATTTGCAAAATCGTTGGAAAAGCTGAAGGAGACATATGAGTGTAATCAAGCTCAGCTGGAGGAAGAGTGTCGGGATGAAGTTGAAAATCTTGGGCGAGATCTCGAAGTTCGGAGAAGAGTAATGTGATTCGTGATGAGATAGATGTTTGGTGCCCTCGACTGAGCTCAAGAGGTCCCTTACTACATGGGGTAGAAGTGTAGGAAAATCAACAAGAAATTAGTGTGGGAATTTTCTAAGTATAACTGCCGTCGGCATCTCCGACCTTCCCGAGATTCTCGATTGACAAACGTGATATGGATATGATAGATGCCAAAAGCAATGAACAAGACTATAGGGCTAGCCTCGGGGAGTGACGTGACGTGGCTCACGTCACGAATAGACAGTACGAAGCGCTCGCATGTGCTGCTGCCCATAATTTTCCACATTGCTGACAGTATCATCACGTCAGCAATATAACTGTAAATGGCTCTTTTGATCGGTCTCAGTGTCGTACGATGAGTAATTTAGATTTGATACAGTTAACGATTTGAAGTGTTTTCTCGTTGGTAAGATCGTATACTAGCGGAGCCATCAGTTGGGGAGATCGTATATAGGGTGCTGGGATTTGAGATGGGTATAGTACTTGCCGCGATGTGGCGGAAGTGTGGTATGGTCGTTTTGTGTTATCCTTCATCTCTGGTCAGGTTGAGATACATGAAATGAGGGAACGGAAGAATCTTCATATGAATGAGTTAACGGAGAACCATAATGAAGCTTTCGAACAGATAAAAGGGTGGTGATTGTGGAGGCTCCATGCGAGTGTGGGAAAATCTTCGCTGTGCGTAAAGATACTATCAAGACATCACGCAGGACAATGTTAAGCTGATACAGAGCATGAAGGATGAGATCGCACTGATGCGTGATAGAGAGAAAGCTAACAAGGAAAGAATGACGCAGCTCATCGCGGAGAACAAGACGGTAAGTGTTGGGGGGGTCCCGGGTTCGAATCCCACGGGCGTCGTTTTTACTTCTGATGAGTTTGTACAATTGTAGTTATCCGAGCCCTTAGCGGAGAAGGAAGAGGAACGTGCTAAGCTGATGGAACTTCTGAAGAATTACAGTACTGATAAAATTGTAAGTGACCTCATACCATCCCTCCGTTACTTCATATGAATACAGGCGTTGGAGAATCTGCGAGGCAGGAGGGCTATGCTCGAGAAGCGGTTGAAGGGAGTGAGGTCAGAGTAAGTCCTCAATCAGGCCTTCCCCTCTGTTACTCATAGTACGTTACTTTGGACCGCAACGATTTACTATGTCGGTCCCAGCTGGTCGTACATGGCCCTTCGGTCGTGCTGTGCGTAGTAAGAAGTATTTTCGTGTATTGGATGGGTTAGGAGGTTGAGATTCCGGTACTGCATATGGAGTATCTCAGGTATAGACAGTCAGAAGAGAAATTGAAGAAAAAAGAAGAAGAATTAGAGGAAGTTATGCGTCGCTTCGCTAAGGTGAAAAATAGTGCCCCCTCTTCACTGTGTTGGAAGGGCGCCTATTAGAGTGTTGATGAGATAAGTCGAATGGCTGAGTTGAAGAACGTAGCACTGGAGAAGAGGCTCGACGTCCTTGATAGCACTCTCGCTGATAAACGGGGCGAGTTGAAGGAGGTGAGAGGGGCGAGCGGTTTTAGATTGTAATTCTGATGCGTATAGAAGTTAGTAATTGATGTTGAATTTGTATAAGAGAAATATTGCTAGGTTTCGCTTTCATGCATGCTGTTGTTGACATAGTGGAATACACTTGTTTGTTTTCTTTTTGAGAGTTCACGACGTGTTGGTGGTTCGTAGGTTGCGAAGTCGGCAAATATGGATGCAACAATACTGTTGGGGGCCACAGAGAGGCTAGAGGGAGTATTGGAATCCAAGAACGCAATTATCAGATCACTGCAATATGAGGCGAGTTTTAGATCCCGGGTTCGATCCCGGCACCTGTCGTTTTGTATTAGATTCAGCGCTTATCGAAGATGTACAATGATACAGTCCGAGTATATGAGCATAAGTTGAAAGGGCTTTGGGATTCCAGTGAAGGAGATGGGGTTCGAACCTGTGCCTGTGAAGACTAGCAAAATCCCAGCTAAGTGAGTCCCATCGAAAGACTGAATGCGGTAGTCCCTCTTCCCTACTTTAGTCTGGTAGCGACCTTAACAGGGAGTGTGAAGCCACCGAGCAAGACAACATGAGTACATGTTAAGCTCTAGTCGTTATGGTTGCTTCTATCTTGAGTTCCTTAGTGATCCAATGGATAACCACCTTAGTTTAAAGATATCCTAGTGAGATGTGTTATCAGCACATGTCAGGTGGGTACGCAACCACTACGGCGGGTCCAGTAGTTGGTTTTTTTTTATTTGTTGTTATTCTCGTCAGCAACCGGGTTGGTTTTTCCGGGCTTCCTCAGCTCGTGGTTTTGCGAGGCAAGCCATCAGTGTTACTTCACAAGATTTGGTAGTCCACAGCCTCTGCCGAACGAGTTAGTGCTGGGTTCGTGAGGTTCGTAGTGCGGTTGTGGAAGTTGTAGGATACAAACACATCTAAAGCTCTCACATGGAATTTTGGAAATGAGAATCGACCTTGGGACCTACTATGTGTTTGGCAGTCGTCGTAACCAACTAGATCATCTCAGCGTGTTCTCTCTATGTCCTAGCTTTTGATGTTGTCCGAGTTGCCACGCTCGCCAGCGTCTCTTTGGCCACATCAACCTCTGCGTCCATAAACGTCATAAAATATGTCTACAGGGGAGCTTCGGACGTCTCAAGACCTAAAACCTAAATGCCACGCCTCATGCAATAAATTTTTCAATCACTGTGTGATACTGTACCCTAGAATCGAACTTGGGACTATCTGTGTTGCAGGCGTCATAACCGAACACACCATTGCAATTCACATCATTTAATATTGTTAATAGTTTCCTCACTTGCACGTAGATGTTTTCGTTCCGGCTATGCCTACTCTTAACCACCGTCCACCAACTCTGTGTCTCTCGTCCCACATCTCCTCGTAGTTCCGTCGTGCAGCTCACCAACGATAACTTCAATCAGTTGGTGCTTCACCGGCGGCCCGAGGAGACCTGGATCGTTATTTTCCATGTGTCTTGGTGTAAAGCATGCAAAGTAGTTGATACTTCCCTTCCACAGCTTTTTCACTAGCCTGGTATTCTCCAGAAAACATTACCGGAGTTCGTTGCGGCGAGCGAGAAGTGGAATGGAGTGACGCGGGTGAATACGGTGAAATTCGGTGAGGTTGACTGCACTAACAATAAGGAGTTGCGAGAGGCATTGGATGTTCACTCGTACCCTACGATAAGGATGTAAGTCGCGATACGACTGCTAGAAACACGCTGAAGGAGAACAGCTACGGCATCATTAGAGTTAAACTAGAGGCGTGCGGTAGATTTCATGTAAAAGAAGCATGTTGGAATGGTATTCGGCATCATTGCAGTTTGGAGCTTACCCAACTGCCAAATCTGTGTGAGTAGAATGGAAGTATTAGATGGACTTCCAGGTGGCCATCACGTTCGTCGGAGGACTCGGGAGAGTTACTTTACACGTATCGCGGCATCCGCACTCAAGAGGCCTTCCTGAACTACCTTGAATTCATGTCCCGAGACAACGTTAGATTGGCGCACTCTTTGGAAGAGATACAGGCATTGTCGGAGGAAGTAGTGAGATATGATCTGAACATAGCGGTATGCTCAGTCGGCTCAGGATGTCTACTCCCGTGTAATCCTCATCACTCGCGACCTCCAGGCTGACCGTAAGACGTTCGACTTGGTAGCCGCAACACTGAAGGGCCAACACTCCTTCTTTATACTGGTACACTTCTCATCAGACCTAAACGGAGTTGCTCTCACATTTCTAGGCATCGGAATCTACCACTGACATTTCTGCCCGAATCGGGGCTCGTCACTCTTGTGACTTAACCATGGGAGCGTGCCTGGCTGTTGTACCTCCTGTGGAGTCGACCGTGTTTGGAGGGGAGCATAAGCAGACATACGCTGAGGTAAGCGCTGAAGTGATGATTCAAATTTATTAAAATTATTTCTCAATTCTATGCCCCAGGTTATCCGAGCTTCTGAAGTGATGTTCGCCGCAGCCACGTTGCAGCATTGGATCGAGGCTCATGCGTTTCCAGGTGGCTGGCAGTCCTCCTCTCCTTCGGTGTTGTGTGTTAGTCAGCTGAGCGTAGGAGTGTACAGAAACCAGCAAGAATTTCCCAAAATTTTTTCTCAGAATTCTCTTATTGTCATCAACAGTTATCATGTAGTTGACCATGTGCATATTTTCTCAGGTGTGTGGAAACTCGATGAGAGTAACTCTGCGGGATTCTTACGAGGCCCCCAGGAGGCAGTGGTGATTGCTGTTGATCTCAGTAGTGAAGACCAGCAACACAACGCGTAAGGAGTCGTAGACTTGAATGTGGGCAGTGTCGTTGAGTTCAGGTGGTTAGAACTACAGCAAGCCTACGTTAATGATAGCCTGGCTGAACACTTCCGTTTTGGTATCATTGATGGTGTGTATTGGGCTACTACTTTGATCAGCTGGGGAATACATGAATACGATCTACCGAGAGTACGCATTACTCGTTGGGAATCGGGTTGAGACTCTCAGACTGTGAGACTAGGATATTATGATAGTCGGCATTGCATATACTGTTTCTTTCTTTCTTTCTGTTTTTCTTTTTTTTTCTTTCTAGTAATCATCCTTCAGTAGAGTACACTATTGCTTCCATCAGGCGATCGTGTTAAAGGGCAATGACTCCGACTTGTACTGGGAGGACGCTGATGAGTTGGCGGTCGGCGACTTGTCTCGAGGCTTGGAGGCTATCATCAGCGGCAGACTACAACCGCGCAACAGACGGGATAACGTTGTGTTGAATAGGCTTGCAAAGTGAGGGAAATACCAAGGACAGGCGACTGTTATCGCACCCTCCTGAGCTGTTTAACAGTGCAAATCCGTACTCTTCTGATCGCACTGTCCTGGACTGTTATAACAGTGCAGATCCGTACTCTTTTGACCACGCTGTTTTCGGCGAACTCATTGGGGAAAGCATCCTCTGTTCGACCGCACTGTAATCTACAGCTTCCCATGTATTCTCGGCATGTGCCAGCTTGACCGGAAAATTCATCTGGGATCGTATTCCACAGTGGAGTTTCCACTGTACTGTTGAAATGTCGAGCATAATGCCTCGGAAAGAGGTAACGTATTCCTTGTCAGTTCCCTCTATCACCCAGTCCGTCACTTTATATCACAGTCGAGCCTCCACCTCATTGGCTCCCTGCTCACACTGTTGATACTCCTACTAGTGGTGTCGAGGTGCATCTACGAGACATGTGGCCTCATCTTCATCGCGGATGATGTTGATGTTGAAACTGAAGAGCAGCTTGAGAGGATACGGGCTATTACCGCGGCGGCGGAGCGAAGGAAGAAAAAAGAACAATGATGACGTTTGTGATACCTCAGTTTGAGTGTTTGTTTTCTCAATTCAATTTCGACGTCGGGGTGCCTATGGTCGGCTCTGGTGAGCACTGGTTGGGAGGCGAACCCCGTAGCCGCTACAAAGGAAACTGTCGAGTATGTTTGCTATACCGAAAGCTCACCAAGTTACGTTCGGCGTTCCTTTTCCTGCTCTCACCTACTAATCTTGTTCTGAGTGACCTCAACAAGGTGTACCCACTAGACCCCTAGCCATACCAGTCTCATCTTCGCAATAGTAGTCGTATAATATCTCCTTGAAGACGAAGGACATCTGGCATTGCCAACTTGAGTTGCCGTCCTAACGATTAGTCGTATGAGAGTAGTATAATTCATGAAGATTGAAGTTCTACGAGGCCCTCCTTGATAGAGTGGATCCCTGTGGGACATGATAGCCGTACCGCTCCTTCGCCGCAACGCCCCATACAGCCCTAGAAGAGTACATGCTAGCGTTGAATACGGGAGTACCCCTCGAGCATCACCAAGCGGTCTTCTTAGCTTGCTTCATTGTGAATGTTCTGGGATATACGTATTTTTTATTGCACGGCAGTCAGGATATCTATTAGTGTTGGGCCAGCACTCAGCATAGGCCAAGGACGATTATGCTCAATAACACCTCTTTTCAATATACTTGCATGCGAGGCATGCAAGTATAGAGTTCTTGGCCAGAGCTCTCGTTATGATTGCAGTACGCGCGGATAGGTTACTATCACCCACGCTCGAATAGTCTATTTACTACCTGTTGTTACTATCAGCGATTTGAGGCTGTAGTGCGAGTCTGTGTTGTTTCCCTCTGCACCTTTCACCTCAAGTCTAAATAGCGGGAACCTCAATTTAAACCCAGGCATCATGCAGCCAACTTCGTTGTTTATACCTCGGAAGTAGTACTTGCGATCACTACAAAGCCGTACGAAGCGTCTAGTAGGGGTGTATTGGTCATGGGTGTTTCAGCTAGGCTCTCCTCTGGATGCACTAACAACATTCTCCTCGTCACCATCACTCACTGTTGTGTTACTCGAAGACGCTATCGCCACTAGTTCCGCTGGACTCTGTGGTATTCGTAGTGTGGTGCGAAAGAACTACTAACTAGACTGACTAGCCCCGTCAGTTGGTTGCTTTCGCGTTGCTCAACAATGGCAGAGGACAGTCGGAATGCTGCTGAGTGCACCAATTGGGAAGTAATTTCTCCTGGCCGCTTACTTGGGAGTCATTCGCTCAGGATATGGATCAGAGACTTGGTCGTATAATGACTTTGGCTGAATCGAAGAGTGCCGAGCTCGAGGCGGCCTTGAGAGCACTAGGGGTGAACCCGATACCGACTCGGTGAGCCCTCGGGTAATCACTCTGACTAACAGTGCGCATCAGGGTAATTAAAACTAAAGGGGATATGGCTATTCTGGAGAGGAATTCGCAGGACAAGACGCCTCTGGTGGCGAACTCACCTGGCAGCACGGATACTATTGTGGAGCAAGAAGGGTAAGGCTTAGTGACATGACCTTGTTGTTTCTAGCGGGTGTTTTAGACTGAGTGCGGAGCCTCTAGTGGGGGAGAGAACAAGCACGGAGTACTTTCCTACTTCTACGAATGGCGGCCGGAAATGGGCTGAGCTCGGCAAGCTGCAGTCGGCAAGCGAGTTGAGGAAGGTGGAAGAAGCTGAGGATGAGCCCAGTGGAGTTGATGTTAGTGAGTCTTGGAGATCATTCCCATGGGTCTTGGAGATCATTCTTGACCGCTGTAGGTAGCATAGCCCCGCACTACAGGGATGAGTCGCCCTCTCGTTATGATCACTCGACTCTGGGTTCAGTTCATGAGGAGTATACGCGATCAGAACAGGAGGTTGAGGAGGAGGAGGATACCAGTGACGAGCAGGGTTCATCAGCTGAGGCTCAGTCGTATGCTACGATGAGTAGAGTACCGCTTGACACGCGGCCATGCACTTCTCCGCGACCAATTCGTAGGGAGAAAGGCGGGTAAGATCCGAGGCATACCTCATCTGCATCAGCCGCTTTACAGGTTCTATTGTATCGAAGCTGACGATGATGGAAGCGTCTCTGCTGAGACTTGGTTCGCCAGTGGGATTAACGCTAACAGGTAGAGATCACCCCTCTGAGTTTCGATCCAGTATTGGACATAGGCACCTATCGCTGCGTACTCAAAGGATCGGTCTGCTCCCTCGCCCTAGTGGTGGGCCTCAGACTTCAAGGGCTGCCATCGAGCTCAACAGCTTGGGCGCCTCGGTAGAGATTTTCTCCTCTGGCCCGTTCATGTTTCGCGGGCAGGTTGCTGAGTTTCCCCGTATGAGCGTCCGAAATGAGCCCCCACCGACCAGCTCGAGACTTCCAGCTGGATCGAAATTCAAGTTTGGGTTAGGAGGCTCACGTCGCTGGAGTTGTTTTTGTTTCTCGCATCAGATATGAGCCTTCGGTTAGCACTGACGTTGCTCCTGGATTGGAGTCTTACCTTAAGGAAATCGGCAGTAGCTTCACTGCTAGGTCTCTGAGCATTAAGACGTTGATGATGAGTTACCCAAATTCTTGGCAGATCCCACCGTGGTCATCGGGAAACCGTGGATAACGAATCCCCCAGTAGAGTGCGCGAGAGGCTTCTGTTTGAGATGATGAAGGTGTATGACGACGCCGCGCCTGACGATGCTCCGTCCCAGTTTGACGATTCTGTTATTAACTAGAGCATATTGCAGCTAGTGTGGCTATGATTCAGTGTAATTATTATACCATTATGTACACATGCATCATGTTTTGTGTAGTGTTGATAGTTACTACCATGATGGGTGCTGTACCCATCGTCGATGGGACATTGAGGCCTCCACTATACCGTGTACAGAACCACTCTTAGCGACGATACTTCAGAGATTGGTCGCACGAGAAAACTGGAACATTCCTCCGAGTTGAGACGCGAGCACAAGTTATCCAGTATATCAATGACCGCATACATTGTATGGCATACAACGAGCAAGCTATATCTGCATATAGCAAAAGAGCTACGCCCTATCACAGTCCCAACACAGTTAGTGTAACAGAACTCACGCTAGCTCAAATCGAGGTTGTAATGCAGATCAATAGTAATTACTGTAATTTTCAGCTCGTGCAACAACTCTCCTATCCATCTTGGACAGGAAGACCTTCGCCAAGTCTTTTACCAATGTCGCATTGGCAATGCAGACCGCATCATACGACCCACGCGATCCAGTGATGGACTTTCGTGCCTTATCATCGCCAAGGCAGTGAGGTGTCGTGAACTAAATCGCTGCCTAGCGGGCCTCGTCACCTGCTTGATCACCATCTAAAGCACCGCTCTGGTGCAGCTGAATTAGTGGGAGACTCCCCATCGCACATCTCATCACTCTATGTAGACGCTCATATAGTCATATGACGGTGGATTCCACCAAGTGGAACTTAGGAGGTTGTGAGTACCGATATTGATCTGCCCATTCCTCGCTCACTTCCTTTCCAAGTTGGTGGTCACACGCCCGACATTCTCCGCATCAGCTGTCCATATCTACAACATTGCCGAATGGCCACTATATGTCTCGAGAGACTCACATGCCAGGATGTGCCTCATAAGTTATCAGTGATAAGTGATAGACCACCTTATTACTCCCCTACTAGTAGTACGCTACCACCAAGTAGCTACTGCGAGTATCTCATTTGCCGCGTTCATCATCCCTGTGACAGGGATGGACAGGGACCCTGTCTGTCAGGGAGTCTCTGTCAGTCGGGGGCCCCGACTATCTGATAGCAGTGCTTACGCGAGGTAGTACCAATGACAAGATACAGGGCTGCTTCTTGAAGAAACTTTCTTCCCACTCGTGTCGGGGCTAGTATCAACAGCGGATTGATAGGATTTGGACCGTGATATAGACAGACAAGTGTAGAGCTACATTGGACAGACCGGATAGCTGTCCTAAGGGCTGGATACTCGACGGGGTGGACACTCCTACAAGAATCCGATATCAGCAGGGAGGGGGAGGGATCACGATCTGGGCCGGATTGATCGGGATACAGTCGTAGTAGGGCCGCCCTGAGCTCCTGCAAACGTCCAACTGAACTCCGAAGCATAAGCGGTGACCACTTACACAGACCACTTAGTGGTCTCATTGAGATTGTCTCAAACACGCACTCTAAACACAATGAACGTGGATTTTGCGACAGAAACATGAGATGCTCACGGATTATCGATTGTTTTCTCTTCGTGGCTTGAAGAACCTGCGAAGGCATTTTCCTGATACGTCATTCGAACCTTGCCCTTACTCTTCTAAGCCATGCACGACCTTGAAGCCTTCATCTATGAACATCTTCTCACTCTTATCCCCCATGTATGCTGTCATCTCTAACACTGGTCCGGGGAGCTTCTGCACGATGGTGTAGTACAGCTGGCTCTGAAAAAGAGATAGGAGGCTCCTATTAGGAGCTGAGTGACCCGAGGAGTCCTGGACTCCTTCGATCACTCGTTGGACCAACGCGATCTTGAATTGACGACAATCATACCGAGTAGTGTCGATCGGATCGTTGCCGGGATCATTGCATTTACGGAAAACACCTCACTACTGATCCGGTACTTGAATCGCTGGTACTGATGCCAGAGTGATTACATCCCTGAGGTTGCTGTCCTCTTGCAGGTTCTTCTTTTTCTCAGCATAGTCTCGCAACTTCATAACGAATTCACCAACACGGGCGAGATTGTACCACCGATGGTCTTCGGAGTTGAATTCCTGTAGTATACGAGTCTTAGATGAGTCTTCATTATAGTACCGTTACTAAAAGTATCAGTTTCTCGCCACTATCGAGCGTTCCATTCTCCCCAGTCCACCGAGGCACCATCTTGGCGATAGAGACAGCTTCCTGCTCTCTCTTCTGATCGGGACTGAGCTGTAAGTTGAATGAGTTTTTCGCCTCTTCGAACTCCTGTCGGCGCTCCTCATCCGCCATCAACCAACAGTAGTAGCTCAGACTGAACATTATCACTGAGAGACAAGTTGACTCTAACCTGTTACAATTTGAAAGGATACCCCTACCATAGAAGGCTAACTTCTGTTTACCCTCAAGTCTTCCTTTACGGGGATCGCTCTCAGACGTGAAACTCCGGAACACTGGATATCGCCGAGGGAGGCTAAAAGACATCTTTGAGACGCCCATGCGCATCCCCATTCGTGGTATGATCATCTACCAAAAACCGGCCGAATTTCAAAGTAGAATCCTTGTCTAACGAGCCGTTGCCCACCACTTGGTGGCGCCAAGGTTCATTCCCCCCCCATAAGCTCTCGACTAATACCTCAACACTCGATATTAAAGTAACTGCGTTTCGTCAAACAACTAAGATGCAGTTAGTAACACTTATGAGAGTAGCTCAATGCTTGAGGGAAGTGATAACATGTTCATTCTCAGTTAATATTTATCTGATGACTTGCGAAAGTGAACGTCCGAGAAGAGAAGCCCTCCTTCCGTAGCGCATCAGACTTTTCTTCAGATGGGCCATGCCCTGACATACAATGCTGCATGACCGATTCACAGCCTCGGCCTTGAGATGAGCCTGATCAGAGATGGGAGCATCGTCACCTCCACCAATTATGGCAAGCACACATCCCGCCTTAACACCATAGACTTGAGCCAGACTGAATAGCATGGCAACTTCCATCTCGGAGGCCAAACATCCGAGATCCTCCAGCACCTCCATATAACGTTTGTGTTCAGGAGCATAGGGACCGAACTTGAACTCTCTAGCCATAAGAGAATCCTTAGTGTGGACCGGTCCAGCATCATACACCCACTGAGCACCTTCCTGGAGCTCATCATCCTCTGTTTCAAGTTGGCGCTGTGCAGCTGCGCACATCGCGGTGACTACTGTAGCCGATCCGAGAGCAGGGTACTCGAGAGGCATATAGTGTCGGGTGGTACCCTCGTCACGAACAGCACCAGTCGCGATAACGATATCACCGATGCCAAGGGTCTTCTGCATAGCACCAGCGGTACCGACTCTAACAAGGACCTTTGCACCCAACTTGATCATCTCTGTAGCGATAATATCAACACTCGGAGCGCCCATACCGGTAGAGATGACACCGATATCAACAACAGTTCCATCAGGGGCATCGTACTTGCCTATGTAACCATCATGACCGCGAGGAGAGAAGATCACTTCGCAGTCCTGAAGGAAAGTCTCCGCGATCTGCTTGGCGCGGTCACGTGATCCAGGGAGGATCCAGAAACGACCGAGGCTGCCATTGCCGTGGCAATGCGCTCGCGTGACTGTCACATGCATGGGTTTGAAGTTTGGATCGGTCATGGTGGAATAATAATGGTCAAGCTAACCAAATGTTGTCGCAGAATCCATGAAATCCGCGGCCCATATGTTTAATGTTGCGGCCGAGTCGCGAGACAACCTCGAGACAGCAGCTCACGGGGTTCCCTGAGCCAGGTGCTGTGAGTCTCCGGGTTGAGACGTTCTGGTAAAGGAGACGGGACTGGACGAGAGACCTTGGGGAGGCGTCTCGGGCATATCGCCTTTTCTTGGCACTTATGGCAATTATTGGGCGTTCGCCAAATCATGCACTTGCGTACGATAAGTCGTGAGAAGTCCTCGTAGTTGGAGTTTCAGGGGCCCATTTCACAAGCGTCCTTAGATTAGGACGTCTTTACGTATAGGGTTTCAACCTTAGGACGTCCTTACCTAACTAAGGCTATTTCACAAGATTTTTTTCCTTACCTAGCGTAAGGATGTGCTAACTGAGGATATTAGGAATCCTTACGGCAATTAAACCCGACGTAAAATATTATACAACTGCGAATCGAACCTGGATCACCCAAACACCAATCGCTAACTCTACCACTCCACGATTTTATACTTGCTAGCATCGAAATGCGAATCCGTTCATCAAACCATGGACCGCAAAGATAGTGCCTCAAGGCGCCATTCAGCAGATTTAACAGATATAACCACTTTTATTATCAACTGATACGCGTAATGGATCTTAACGGAGCGGAACTAGTAGATTAGGATGACCTTGATGACTTGGACGTCATGGCCGAGGAGCATGAAGTACGGAAGAGGGCACTCATGGCTCAACAGGATGCTTGGGAAGCTTGGCAGCAAGCTGGTAGAGCACGGGGCGAAGTTTCAGTTTTTGCTAAGAGGGCCTTTTCTACTATGGAGGAGTCTTGCAGTAACAAAAGGCTTGACTCTATCACTAAGAACAAATGATATTAATGCCTGTATTAAAACCTCCGTAGGGTTTTGAACTATCTTGCAAATGATATGGTCTCGAACGATCCCCGCGTTGTTGCATTATTGCGAGTTATGAAAGAACTAAGAGGTAACTTTGTAAGGATGCACTGAGGAGACGGACATGACGAACTAACTAACAAACAACGATTCTTTTATCTCGACAGTGACTCGAGGGTTTATCAGACGATGCTGACGTACCAACGGACGAAGACAATCATATCCTACATTGTGCAAGAGAGCATCTAGCCGCAGCTGAAAGACGTCCACAGCGGGAGAGAACTCGTCGGCTGCGACGCTAGGCTTAGGGCGGCGCTTGCAGCGGACTTGATCGTATAAGTCTGTAACATTACCAATTGTGTGGTAGTGGTAACACATCGTGTCGTATCATATTGTCTTTTGCAGTTTCTATTTTTATAAGATCACTAATATGGACTCACCGACTACAAGTGTTGTTTCCTCATTTCTCGAGGCTGCTTATCAAGGCGATATGAATCGCATGAAGGAGCTTATGGCCAGCAACTCCGGTCTATCTGTTAATGTTCAAGACTATGATAAGAGAACTCCTCTTCATTTAGCTGCTGCTGGTGGTCACATGGATGCTGTCCAATATTTGTTGGGTGAGGGGGCTCAGCTCAAGACTGATCGCTTCGGTATGCTTCCTATCCACGATGCTGTGGTGAACCATCATAGCGACATCAAGGAGGTGCTCGGTCAACTCGACCTCAAGTGTGATGATGCCATGTGCTATCTTTCCCCTGAGAAGGAGGAGGCTTTGAGAGAGCAAGTGAAGAACACCAATATCTCTCTGACTCCTGAGGATTTGGAAACCAAGATGACTCAGGTCTTTTCTATCATTATGAAGGAAGGTGTCCTCGCTGCTGGTTCTCTCTGGCAGGAGATTGTCTACTACTTCACTGGGCTTGGTCTTCATCCCAGCTACTTCAAGCATTTTACCAGTGCTGAGATCGCCAGGCATATCCATTGCCTTATCGCTGCTAAGAAGGTCGCTCAGGCTACCAAGTCTGACTATATCCACTTCGAGATTGAGGAAGCGGATTCGGCTTTCTATCTCACCACTATGGAGCCTGAGAAGATTGCCATCACTGATGCTAAGGTTGCTGAGTATATCAATACTGCTAAGGACTGTGGTTACACTATCACCTTCCTAAAGTCTGAGAAGGCTCCCATGGCCGAAGGGAAATTCCCTCTCGGCGTCTTTGTTGTCGACAAGCAACAGTTCGAGTCGGGTGTTAAGTTCGAGAACATGATGGATAAGAGCGACCTTCAGCTCGTTGCCACTCCGAAGTTCCTTGAAGAGAGGTCTGTTGAAGTACAGAAGCTCTACCAGGATCTTATTGATGAGACTATGGCTACCCGCAATACTGTTGTTAAGGTGTTCGATGCTCCTGCCAACTTGGTTCAGAAGTCCGGCGCTCAAGTGTTGCAGTTTGCTGCCTTTGATGTTGATCGTACGGGCCGAGCCTACATCTCTGAGATCAACGAATGCTTCCGTTCTCATAACGTTGAACCCAAGAGATTCTACGTGGACTCGTTCGCCAATGGTATCGTCACCTATACTTGCTTCTTCGACCCCACTTTCCAGGGTGAGGCATTGGAAAAGCTCGCGCAGACTCTCCGTTATGTGAGTCATTTCAAGCATAACCCGAGGAAGTCCGGTTTGGTTTGGGAACTTGTGCTCAACAATAAGATCACACCCGAGCATGCTATCTTCCTCATTACTGCTGCCAAGTTCATCTTCTCATTCTTCCCTAAGGAGACTGAGGAGTATCTCGCTTTGGCCGACTATTTCGAGAGTGACCCGTCCAAGAAGAGTGAGTTGGATACTCTCTTCAGAGATACCATGGCTAATGCTATTACTTATGAGAGGATCTATGATGCTCTCACTTCCAACTATGAGCTAACTTTACCTATGTTCGACGACTTCAAGAAGGTTGCCACTGGTCTATGCAAGCCTTTCTACAATGAGGAATTGGCTGCTAAGGTTGATGATCAGGTTGGATCTCGCTTCGATGCGAAGATCTTGAAGACTCTGTTGAAGCTCAGCGCTCATCTTCAGATGACGAACTTCTTCAAGGCTGGTACAGCCTCGGCTATTGCAATGAGGTTTGATGGTGAGGTCCTGGCTGATCGTCCGAGGACTCTCTTCTCCAGGATTCCTTATGCTGTCTATCTTGTCGTCGGCAGGAGCTTCTATGGCTTCCACATCCGATTCACTGAGATCGCTCGTGGTGGTATCAGACTCATCTTATCCAGGAACAGACAGGTCTACAAGAAGAACTGCGCTACTTTGTTGGAGGAGAACTACAACTTGGCCTTTACTCAGCAGCTGAAGAACAAGGATATCCCTGAGGGCGGATCGAAGGGTACCATTCTCATGGATATGGATTCTCAGAACTTGAACACCAGTGGTCGTGATGCTTTCAATAGCTATGTTGATGCTCTCCTCGATTGCATCCTGGCCAAGGAGACCGGCCTCTATTCTAACCTCTCCAAGCCTGAGATGCTCTTCTTCGGTCCCGATGAGAATACTGCTGGATTCATGAAGTTGGGCGCTTTGAGAGCCAAGGCTCGTGGTTACAAATACTGGAAGTCTTTGACTACCGGTAAGTCCGCTGTCCTTGGTGGCATCCCCCATGACAAGTACGCCATGACAACAAACTCCATTCATCCTTACGCTACCGAGCTTCTGAACAAGTTGGGTGTTGAGGAGTCTAAGCTCACCAAGGTCATGTCCGGTGGCCCCGATGGTGATCTTGGTTCTAACGAGATTCTCATCTCCAAGGATAAGACCATTGCTATCTGTGATGGTACTGGTGTTGCTTATGATCCTCAAGGATTGAACAGAGAGGAGCTCACTCGTCTTGCTCATCTCAGAGTTGGTGTTGCTAACTTCTCTCGTGATAAGTTGTCAAGTGATCCGAAGGCATTCTTGGTCACTATTGACGATAAGGATGTAACTCTTCCGAATGGTGATCATTTCAAGTCCGGTGTTGAGGTCCGGAATCACTTCCCTGAAATGGAGTACTTCTCCGCTGATCTCTTCATCCCTTGTGGTGGCCGCCCTGGTACTATTAACATTGGTAATGTTGATAAGACCATGTTCAATCCTGAGACTAAGGAGCTCAAGTTCAAGTATGTTGTAGAGGGTGCCAACTTATTCTTGACTGATGATGCTCGTCGATATCTTGAGGATGCTGGTGTGCAGCTATTCAAGGATGCTTCCACCAACAAGGGTGGTGTTACTTCTAGCAGTATGGAAGTGTTCGCCGCTCTTTGCATGGACACGGCTGATCATGACAAGTTCCTGTGTTCTCGTGATGAGACCAGTGCTCCTCCTGAGTTCTACGAACAATACGTTCAGGAGATTCTCGCCGCTGTCCGTCATAACGCCAAGATGGAGTTCAATGGCATCTGGAAGACTAACCATGAGGTGAAGTATCCTGATGGATCGAGGTATATTCGTAAGACTGATGCAACCATCTTATTGTCGAAGAAGATCAACGACATGCAGTCTTATATCCTTGGCGTCCTCGAGGAACATGATCCTGAGAATGATTGGATGGTTCGTGCTGTTCTCAGACGTTGTGTGCCGAGGTTGCTTCTTGTTCATTGTGGTTTGGATAAGATTGTCGAGAACACTCCCGAGGCTTATCTCAATGCTATGGTTGCTACTTGGATTGCTGACGAGTTTGTCTACTCTAATGGTCTACAGACTAGTGAGTTCGCCTTCTTCCAGTTCATGCGTTCACTTGAGGAGAAGTCCGAAGGTGAAGTTACCCCTTCCACTATGTAATTTACTCGAACTTTCTATACACTAGCTATATGAGGCACCGGGCATCGGTATCTGCCGAATGTTTTTCTTAACGCTACGAAGAGTTTTTTCTCCCGTATGTCTTAACGGGTATACTATCAACTAAAGCTCGCTTGTATAGTGTGTTACTTAACTTCGCCGATCTGACTAGTCTGATTATGATGTCGTGTTAAGTTGTAGGCTGAGCGATATGGCTGCTGCACGGAGGGGGATAACTCTCGAGGGTCAGCGGACTCTGTAGCGTTATGAAACATGATTATGAGTACAGTGAGTGACCGAGGTATCGTTGATAAATAGTGCGAGATTTTTTATTCGGATATGATAGAGATTCGAGTGATGAAATATCGATTTTGATGTTAAGAGGTATGAGTCTTATACTATAAGTGTGCTTATACTATAAGCATACGTTAGACCGTGTAACGTGTAACTTACACGTCTGTTGCAATTACAGTCTGTCCGTCTACTGCTTGATTCCTGACGCGTTTCACAGCCGTGGTCAGTGATCGATATTAGAGCACTCATAGGTCGTGCATCAAATGCAGGAGTTCGATGCAGAAACATGGACTCTGATACAGAGTTCGAGACTGTATGGTACAGCTTTTCCGGACCTACAGGTCTCCCCTGAGGTCTCGGTCACCGGACAGGTGTCCGACTAACTGGTGCCGTATCTGGTACGATATACAAGCGGCTCACCGGTAACGCTGGTCTGTCACGTCAACCAGTCTACTAGGTAAACGACTGTCAGTTGGTAACGACTTCCCATAGAATGATTGGTGTACTGGAGCACCCACGGACGAGTCAG